GGGCTTTTTCTTCTGTAAAGACTGACAGCTTCTGACACCCTCTGGGGCAGTTCCACTCTGTCCAGTAGGGGTGCGATATGTCGGACTCAACTCCATGTAATGGTTTGGTTCAGGTGTTACTTCCATTAAGATGGACAGCCATGGAAACCCAACGGAGCAGTTCTACTCTGTCCTGTAGGAGGTGCTATGAGGTGGAATCCAGAGGATGGCAGTGGGTTTGGTTCTTGGTTTTAACAGTCATGATGTGCAACCATAATCAGTATCTGTTGTCAAATTCTCCATCACCATAAAGAGAAGAAACTGAATGACTACCATCAGTCTGAGTTGATTCAAAAGGATTTTTTTTTTTTTTTACTTTTTAAATGGCAAAGGTGGGTAGAGGGGAAGGTCAAGATAATGGAGGGTCTGATGGTTACTAGAGCACTGGCCAGGGACACAGGGCGGGGCCTGGGTGAGGTAATCATCCTGGACACAGCAGCTGCACTTGCAGAAGGGAAGCTGCACAGGGTCCTTCTGTTCACTTTGCAGTGTCCTGTGTGATCTGCTCCCTGTATCTGAATCTGCTAAGTCAGGGGTCAACACACACCACAGCCCGAGGCACCATGTGCCCCACAGCTGCTTTTGGAAACAGCTTACTCTAGAAAATGGACACAACCATTCATGGACTATTGTCTATAGTTGCTTTCAAGCTACAATGGCAGAGTTAAGTTTTGAATATCTAGCCTGCAAAGCCTAAAACGTCTACAATGTAGTCCTTTACAAACATGTTTGCTGAACCCTGCTCTGAGTCACTGTCTGAAAAGGATCCGATTTCCCATGAAGACTTTCTTATTAGGAAGGAGTTCCCTGAGTATGTGGTTGAATGTGAAAACACTTTGGTGGAAATGAGCCACCCTCCCCCTCCCCCTTTCATTTCTTTTGGAATCTTTCTGCAGGGTTATAACCAGAAGTCAGGACAAGGGGCAAGATGGCAGCACAGACAGGAGCACCATCACGATCCTCCACAACAATGAAAAAGGTGACAATGGCAAACCTATGAAACCATGGATAGGGAGAGATATACTAACAAAGAGTCCAATGAACTTGTCCAGGTTCATAATGACAAATGGATGGTAGTTTGTGAGGTGCATCAAAAGGGTTGAGTGTTACATACACTATGGCCAATATAATCAACTTGCAAGGTTTTTTTTTTAATGCTTTTGCTGCATAGAAAGGCAAACTCTGCACTATGTACTATAACAAACATTTCACTGATATTAGAAACACATCAACTAATTGTTTCAACTTACATACAAATGAGTCTTAAGGCAGACATAGAAACTGAACTTGTTTGTAATATGGCAACTGACTCTACTGTTATCAACAAATGGAAGTATAAATAAAGAGGAGAGAAGGGAAAGCTATTTCTTGCTGAATTCCAATGAATAAACTTAGAAGAAATGACTGCAATAGAACATATCACTTGGTAAACACCAACAAAAACCAAAACACCCAAACTCACTGCCATTGAGTTGATTTTAACTCATAGGGACCCAGCACTGGGTTTCCAATCTTAACTAAAGGAGATGGCCTCATTTTGCATCTGAGAAGCGGTTGGTGGGTTCTAATTACCAACCTTTTGACTGGCAGCCAAATTCTTTAACCACTACACCACGAGAGGGCCTAGGTGAATACCACAGTACTAATAATTGTAGGTAATAATTATCAATGGCTGTAAAAATCAGTAAGCCAAAAGTACAAAAAAAAAAAGACAATAATTGCACAATCACAAAATGTCACCCTGTGAGAAACCAATCATAAAGTGTCAAAAAGTCAATTTTATGATAGGAAAATATGGAAAAAAAAATGTGTTCAATTTCAGAAATAAGACACAGTATAACTCTCAAAGGAAAGACTTAGGTATAGGAAAGCTTGTGAAGCTGGTACAGGAGCAGACAGTGTTTTGTTCTGTGTATAGAGGGCTGCTATGAGTCAAAAGTGACTCAAAAAGACTTAAAAACAACAGCAATTCCTGTAGCCAGATTTGGGCTACCCCAAGACTCATAGGAAAGGCAAAATTTAGCTTGGATTAAGGAAGTAAAAAAGACTGGCAAGGACAGTCCCACAGTTACAGTAAAAGAGTCATTTCTCCCAAAGACACAAAGTAGTATTCACAATTCCTTATTTGAGTTAATATTGCCTTCGTATTCACTGAGAAATGTTGTTCTTTTATGTGGAGATTTTAGGAAATTTGCTGTTTGAAATTGTAAGAGTCAGGAGGAAACAGCCCACTTTTGTCACAGCATACTTTTCACTATGAGTTCTTACTTGTGAAATGACGCGTAATGAACTCCTGCAAGTTTTCCCACCTGCTTATCTTCCTAAGACCTGCCTCCACTGGGAGTTCTTCTGTGTAGTGATGGTTGAGAAAAAACTGAAAACTTTCTCACTAACATTAATAAGTCCTCTGCCCACTGTGTGTTTTCATATGTCCAGTGAGCAGTGATGAACTCTGAAAAGATTTCCCACAGTCCTGACATACATAAGGTCTCTCTCCACTGTGAGTTCGCATATGTGTAGTGAGGTGTGAGGCCTGTGTAAAGGCTTTCCCACATATTTTACATTCATAAGGCCTTTCTCCACTGTGAGTTCGCTTATGTGTAGTGAGGCCCGAGAGCTGACTAAAGGTTTTTTTACATTCATTACATACATAAGGCCTCTCTCCACTGTGAGTTCGCGTATGTGCATTGAGGGATGAGGGCTGACTAAAGGTTTTCTTACATTCCTTACATTCATAAGGCCTCTCTCCACTGTGAGTTCGTATATGTACAGTGAGGTGTGAAGCCTGCGTAAAGGCTTTCCCACATACTTTACATTCATAAGGCTTCTCTCCACTGTGAACTCGAATGTGTTCTTTGAGTTTTATGGCCCGTGTAAAGGTTTTTTTACATTCCTTACATTCATAAGGCCTGTTTGCACTGTGAGTTCGCCTATGTACAGTTAGGGATGAAGTCTCTGTAAAGGCTTTCCCACACAGATTACATTCATAAGGCTTTTCTCCACTGTGAACTCGCATGTGTGGTGTTAGGCCTGAGGCATGACTAAAGGCTTTGCCACACTCCTTGCATTCATAAGGTCTGTCTGTACCATGAATTCTTTTATGTGCAGTGAGGGCTGGGGCCCGAGCAAAGGTTTTCCCACATTCCTTACATTCATAAGGCTTTTCTGAACGATGTATTATTCTTATGTGTAATGAGAGGGAATAGGCACAAGTAAAGGATTTCCCACATTCCTTACATTCATAAGGCTTCTCTCCACTATGAGTTCTCATATGTGAAGTGAGGGGTGAGGCCTGGGTAAAGGCTTTCCCACATATCTTACATTCATAAGGCTTTTCTCCACTGTGAGTTCGCATATGAGTAGTGAGGCCTGAGGGTTGACTAAAGGCTTTCTTACATTCCTTACATACATAAGGCCTCTCTCCACTATGAGTTCGCATATGTGTAGTGAGCGATGATGGCTGACTAAAGGTTTTCTTACACTCCTTACATTCATAAGGCCTTTCTCCACTGTGAGTTCGCTTGTGTACAGTGAGACTTGAGGCCAGTGTAAAGGCTTTCCCACATTCCTTACATTCATAAGGCTTTTCGGAACTATGTGTTCTTCTTATGTGTAACAAGAGGGAATAGGGCCGGCTAAAGGATTTCCAACATTCCTTACACTCATAGGGCCTCTCTCCAGTGTGTGTTCTTATATGTTCAATAAGAATTGAGGAACGTGTAAAGGCTTTGCCACATTCCTTACATTCATAAGGCCTCTCACTACTGTGAGTCCTCCTATGTTTACTTAGGCTTGAGCTATGACTAAATGCTTTTCCACACTGCTTACATTCATAAGGCTTTTCTGAACTATGTGTTCTTCTTAGGTGTAATGAGAGGTAATAGGCCCTGCTAAAGGATTTCCAACATTCCTTACACTCATAGGGCCTCCCTCCAGTGTGTGTTGTTATGTGCTCAGTAAGACATGAGGAACTTCTAAAGGCTTTCCCACATTCCTTACATTCATAAGGCCTCTTTCCACTGTGAATTCTTTTATGTCTATAGAGGCTTGACGGATGACTAAATGCTTTCCCACATTCCTTACATTCACAGGGGCTCTCTCCACTATGAATTCTTTTATGTATAAAAAGGTTTGCAGGCTGACTAAATGCTTTCCCACATTCTTTACACTGATAGGGCCTATCTCCACTGTGAATTTGTCTATGTATAGAGAGGTGTGATGACTGACTAAATGCTTTCCCACATTCCTTACATTCATAGGGCCTCTCTCCACTGTGAATTCTTTTATGTCTACAGAGGTTTGAGGATCGATTAAATGCTTTCCCACATTCCTTACATTCGTAATGCTTAAATGTCTTTTGAAATTTTGTATGAAACATCAGAGATGATGGATGACTACTGATTTTACAACATTCTTCACATTCACGTTTATGACCTCTGACATGTGTACAAAAAGATGAGAAACGACAGAAATATTTCCCACATTTGCTACATTCATAGCATTTCTCACCAGTGGATGTTGTCACAGAAATCTTAAGAGTTGACATGAAAAATTCCTTCCTGTTTACATTACATTTGTCAAGCTTTCTTCCCTTAAGAGTTCTCACAGGTGTGGTTCTGCGAGAGGGATGACTGTAGGCTTCTCCACAATCCATACACTGACAAGTATTGCCTGTGGTGTATGAGCTGGTGTGACGCTCAGGTGATGACTCATCCATTAAAGCCGTTCCCCAAACACAGGATTGAAAAGGCTTGACCTCTGGAGGGTTTCTCTGTACCACAGCAAGATCTGGAATGCAGCTGAAGGTTTTCCCGCACTGACTGTCTTCATTACTTTCATACAGGGTCTTTACATTATGACTTCTGCTAAAGATAAGACACATGCTGTTGGAAACAAATTTATTCTCATTCCTTCATTACCAAACACAGCAAACATGCATGGTTTTCACCCTTATTTATCTCATATTTCATAAGTTAATTTATCTATCAGAAATGTAACTATGTATCAATATCTTTCTGAAATAGAAGGCTTGCCATTAATTGCATCAAAGTAAAGTATGCTTAAAATATTTGGTATCTGTCTTACATTAATGAAAATGTAAACATTTTCTGAACACATAATTCATAACTAGTTTCAGGCACATAAATACATACATGTATACATGAATACAGACACATCAATACATGTAAGGGTGTTCAAGTGGTTTGAGACAGTTCGGGAATTGCAATCTAAACAAGAGCAGTCTACCTGATGCAGAACAATCAAATCAAAATTCTATCTCATGATCTCCAGCATCAATTCTATCACCAGGGCCACATTTTTGGATTACCGATGATTCTTGTTTTGAACTTGCACATTGCAATCACGAATAATCATCAATACATCTTGATCGCATGTTTGGTCAAGTTCAGACTACAGAAATCTTTAATTTCTCCAACTTTGGCTTTAGTTATTGGTGTGAAAATTTGAATAGTAGTATTAAATGGTCTTCCATGTAGATGTATGAGTATTATCCAATTACTGACAGCATTGTACTTCAGGAGAGATCTTGAAATATTTTTTATGATGATGAATGAGATTCCATTCTTCTTCATTCCTCCCACCATGGAAGATGATATGATTGCCTGATTCAAAATGGCCAATACCAGTCCATTTCAGCTCATGAATGCCTAGGATATAAATCTTCTTGCACTCCAACTCATTTTCGACAACTTCCTATTTTTCTAAATTCATGTGTTGTACATACTGCATTCTGATTATTAATGAATGTCTGCAGCTGTTTCTTCCCATTTTAAGTCATGCCCCATCAACAAATGAAGGTCCTGAAAGCTTCCCTCCACTGACATCATGAAGGTCAACTCTACTTGGTTCAGAGCCTAAGCATCTGACTACTAACAAGAAGGGTGGCAGTTCAACCCACCAGCTCCTCCATAGAAGGAAGATGAGGCAATATACTGCCATAAAGATTTACTGCCTCGGAAACGCAATGGGGTTTACTATGGCATGGAAATGACTCGATAACAGTGAGTTTGGATTATTTGGTTTCTACTTGGAGGAGGCAGTACTTTCCCGGTTGTATTTGGAGTGTCTTCTGACACGAGCGGTTCATCCTTCTACAGGTAATATTTCTGGGCCATTTGTTAAGTTTTCCAGTAATATAACAGACAGTGTTTCACTGTTACTCATAAGATTATCACTGGACAATTCTTCTAGCAATGGATATCCTTTTCTTTCTTCCCAGTCTGCAAACTCCACTGAAACTTGTCCTCCACAGGTGACCTTGCTTTTATTTGTAATACTAGTGGTTTGGCCTCCAGCCTCAAAACACACAAGCCACCACAGTATGACAAACTGACAGAGAAGTGATTCTTCCCTACTGTGGTTAAAATACAACTGGCACCAGATTTGGTTGCTATGCAACACATACACTGCCCTCATTTAGACCTCTAATGACCATACTGTTACGAACTGGTTCAAAGTCCAGTTATACACATATAAATACTCATGCGTATCTTAAATGTCATAAC